ATTGATCGGTGTTAACTCACCTTTATGCTATTAAATAGCGTTATATAATTACAGCATTTATATATGCTGGCTAAGACACAATACACCCTATATATATCACTTGTTGCTAGTTGTTACACCTCTAATAGAAGATTTTTTCAAGCCGATATTTTGTATTGCCGGCTTTACACTAATTGTTGATGCTGGTTTCTTAGCAACTACGCACGTACCTACGTCATCACATGGATCACGTGGTGTTCGTCGGACACTTCCGGGTTTCGAACGGGGATAGGCGGGACACAATCACTATTGGTGAGTACAATCTTCACTTACCTTATATAAAGTTTGTTTTTTAATATGTATTTGATCTTGAGGAAGACCCGAACGGGTCGAAACGTCGATCAATGTGTTACATTATGTAACAGAATAAATACCTTTTGAAATATTTAAAAGACCAGAGAGTGCACCCTTATTATTGATATATTATATATATATATATATATATATATATATATAAAATTATATATATATTAATAGTAAAATACACCTAGACAGTGTATGTGTTTGTATGGATATGTGTATATATATATATACTTAGATCATATATGATCTAAGTATATATTTATTTATTTTTTACACTTTTTAACTTTTATTACTTTAATTTTATTTTATTTCCAGCCAGCAGGAGGACTACCTGTCATTACAGGCAGCCCCCCTGCTGGCAATGCTGCACCCAGCTATCCCGGCCATGTGATTGTGAGATTCTCACAAGGACCTCACTCTCACATGGCCGGGGGGCTGCAAGAGGGAAGATCTGCTGCGGGGGGGCTCCCTGGGAGTCCCCCCAACTGCGATCGCCAGCGTGGGGCCGCCGGCGTCTGAGTAAGTAATGAAAGTCCGGAGGGCGTACTATTATGCCCGGCGGCGTTTAGAGCCGCCTAAAATAGGGCGTAATAGTACGCCCTCCGGTCTTAAGTGGTTAATATGACTATTATATTTATTGTTATGTACTAGAAATCTAAGGAACAGACATAAATACACACATAGCAAACCTGCCTTGAGGAATGCATAATCAGGAACCCTGTCCTGGACCCCTCTCTTTTGGAAGACCCAGTGCAGTTCAGCCGAAGTGTTGAACAGGGATTAACTGTCATAATATGTTATACCTGGAATGTAGGACACTGCTCTCTCTCTCTTCCCTCTCACTTGAACTAGTGGTTCCACCCCTGTGATGACTCACAGGTCAGAGAGCATGGCAGCCATCTTAAGTCAGTGAGTATGATGTAGTGCTGCACAGAGGATGTTTTACTCCTATGTTCCTGTAAGTTTTATTAAGCCTGATTATACAGTAAATGTTCAGCAATAAAGCAAGGTTGTATGAAACTACTGGCCTTGTATGTGAAGCAGTCAGGACCATAACAGTGGTGACAAGGATGGGATGTACAAAGGCCCTACAGGTAATCGATACACACTGCCAGCCACAGAGCAGCCAGCAAGGACAAGGCACTGATAGGCACATTGTGTGAATTTGATGGGGAACAGAGTTCCTGGAGCTTCTGGACTGAAAGATTAGCAGTACTTCAGTGCAAACACCATACCTCCTGAACAGCAGGTAGCTGTATTCCTGACACTGGTGGGAGCTAAAACATATGACACTGTAAGAGACCTTCTGTTCCCTGATAAACCAGCAAGCAAAACACTGGTGGAACTGCTAAAACTATTAGAGGATCATTTCCAGCCCAAACCACTGGAGATTGCAGAAAGATTCCTCTTTTACTAATGGCAGTAGCAATCAGGGCAAGATATTAAAGCACATGTGGTGGCTGTTACGGTACCCTCAGCATGAAATGTACAAACCACCGTTTAGTGAATGCTCCCCTTTCGCAATAACATAGGCTGCATGCGTATCCAGTATAATCATGCGAACCGCAAGCAAGGGAATGCTGCAAACTCACGAACGGGATCCGTATGGGCACTTCACTCCACGAGCTCAAAACTCACGAATCGCCAATATTAGCCAAACGCAGATATCTCCCAAGCGGCTAATAATCCCATCCAGCAGTCTCTAGTCATCGGTAATAAATCCCCCCAATAACGAGACCAAGCTCCACATTGAGGGTAAAACAAGAACTGGCTTTACTGTGGGCTACCTGCCCGTATTTATGAAGGTCTCTCACCTGGTGGACACTCCCCAAAGGGACCAAATGGGAGACTGTGACAATAGACAGACATATGGCAGTTCAGGACCCACAGACACAAAATATTCCCAGCATGCCAGTAATTCAATTATCTCCAGGACAGAGGCAAATCGCCATTTTAAATTCAACACAGAAAAACACATAAAAATATATAACTTTACATTTGTCGAATGTTACCCATTCATATCACATAACGCCTGGATCTGAGTGCATATTATTGGCGAATAGCGCTCAGATCCCATACGCATAGTTCAATCGCCATGGAGTCAAAGTCTATTACAGTCTTTCGGTATGCGATTGACTCCATGGGAAGGCTATCTGGGGTAAGTCCATTTGTGCATTTAAACCTCCCGAACAGCTTCAGCAGTGTTCGGCTGAAAAAGTGTCCGATTTCAGTTCCATGAAATCAATGCCGAACACTGCTGGTCTTTCGCATGGTTTAAAATGGCCGCCGCCTCGTGGTTGACATACGAACGACGACCACCCTGTATTCGGTTTTAATTGAGAAGTGTCTGTGGTTAACCGCAACGTTCTAATTGGGATCAATAGGTTAACCAGCAGCACACTTCTCTTCTGGGTGGCCGTCCGTTCGGTAGGTTTGTTCAGCGGAAAAGTCAATTCACGGAACAGGGGCATACAAACGGGTAATTTCGTGAAAAGGCAAAACAGATGAATCCAGCAATCTTAGTCTATACAAATGGATCTGTCACAGTGGCCATTCGCATATTGGCCTCCACCTGAGGAAACACTCATCCTTTCAGAACAATTGAAATTGCATCAGTCATGGAAATGGTTGTCAGGGATACTGAGGAATTGAATGCTCAGTTTCCCAAAGAAGGGGTAAAAGAGGAGGTCTTCAGAGCAGCAGTCACACCAGCTATGGCCAACTGCACATACAGATCCTCACCTCAGACCAACCAGTTGCTACCGGTGTGGTAAAACAGACCATGACTCCAAAACATGTTGCTTTAAAGACCAACCTTGTCATCACTGTGGAAAAATGGGCCATCTGAGACAGGTCTGTCGTAGTAGAAATGTATGGGGAAAACAACTGCAGTATTCCTTTAAGAAAACATACAGAGTAGAGAAACCCACCTCTTCATCTGAGTCAGAAAATGATGAACCATTGCACAGATTAACTATACGTCACCTACACTCTTCAAACCCTGCAATGATGGTAGAAGTAACCATTGAAGGAAAGGCATTAAATTGGATGTTGATACAGGAGCGTGAGTTTCAGTTCTCACACAAAAGCACTGGCGACAACTACATACACAGGCAACTATCTGCCCAACTCCAATCAAGCGGCAGACATATTCCATGCAAGTCCTCCACCCAATTGATTGTGTAAAGGTACAGGTATCATACAAGGGTCAGACAAAGAGACTACTGATATATACTTTGAAACACGGAGGACCTCCTCTCTTTGGTAGAGACTGGATTGCTCATCTGGGAATGCCAGACATCATCAAGAACCCTTGCAACAACCTTACAGTCCATCTGGACAGATTGATGGATGGGTGGATTTCTTGAAACAGAGATTTCCTGAGGCTTTTAAGGATCAGTTGGGGAAAATGAAAAATGACTGTGTGAAGCCCAAGCTAAAACCAGATGCCCATTCTTCAAGGCTTGGACAGTACCATTTGCCCTTCGAGCAGGAGTGGAAGCTAAACTCATCTGGCTAGAAGAACAGGGTATCATTTCCAAGGTAGAGCACAGTGAATGGGCATCATCTATTGTGCCAGTAAATAAATCATATGGAATTAAGCATCTGTGGGGATTTTTGCATGGTACTGAATACTCAACTGGATATAAACCAGTATCCTCTACCAAGAGTAGATTACATCTTCGCCTCACTTGCTGGGAGACAGCAGTTCTCTAAGATTGATCTCTGACAAGCCTAACTACAGTTTGAGATCCACGCTTCTTCTCGAAAATACCTCACCATTAACACTTACAAGGGCTTGTATGAATAAAACCATATAGTGTTTGACATAGCACCAGCCATCTGGCAGAGGAAGATAGATGTAATCTTAGTAGACATTCCCTTCACACAGTGTCTATTAGATGACATGCTCATCACTAGTTGTACAGACCAAGAACACAAACAGAATGTGGAACAGGTTTTACAAAGACTTCAGGACCATGGTCTCAAGGTGAACTTGGCAAAATGCAAATTTATGTTGCCCAAATTGGAGTTTTGCAGCCACCTAGTAGATGCTGAGTGTATACACACCACCGATGTCAAGGTCAATGCTCTAGTCAAAGCGCCAGCTCCAACAAATGTCTGGCAACTATGATTGTACCTTGGCCTCCTCAACTACTATAATAAATTTCTCCCAGACCTGGCTCACACCTTGTTCCCACTACATAAGCTTTTAGAGAAACACTCCGGATGGGAGTGGTCAGCAGAATGCCAACAAGCTTTTGAGGTCTTCAAACAAACTATTGGGCTCACATATGCTTGTACACTACGACCTCCACAAGCCTCTCACATTGGCTTGCAACGCCTCGACTTATGAAACCAGTGGCCTTAGTCTCAAGATCAGAAAGCAACTACTCCCAAATTAATAAAGAGGCACTTGCATTGATATGGGCAATTCAGAAGTTTTACCTTTACCTCTATGGTAGAGAGTTCACCATATTAAGAGATCATAAATATCTACTTCAGGTCTTTAGCCCCGATAAAGAGATCTCCCAGACAACTGAAGTCTATCTTTAACGCTAGGCCCTGATTTTGGGTGCATATAGCTACCACATACAATATCGAAGCCATAATGCAAACACCATACCTCCTGAACAGCAGGATCCAATGCCGATGCAATGTCCCAGCTGGCAGAACTGCTTCCAGATTCTTCTCCAGCTGTCAATATTTGTAGGTACACCACCACACACCTACTGACCTTTGGATTAAATCATAATGTTCGGAAATCTGTGCTTTCATTTACACAAACTGTCTGGCCAGCAACTACTACAGAGGATTACGAATCTTACTACCGGAAGCGAATGGAGTTGGCTGTGAATGACAATTGTCTTATGGGGAGAATGAGTGATCATTCCAAAAACCCTCCAGAGACATATCTTGGACTTGCTACATACTGGTCACCCTGGTACTACACAGATGAAATAGAACGCACTAGGCTACTTGTAGTGGCCTAACATAGATGCTGAGATTACAGCATATGTCAATGCTTGTATAGGATGTGCACAAACTGCAAGAATCCCTCCAGAGGAAGTATTCAGCCGTGGACTTGGCCCACGGTTCCTTGGTTTCGCCTTCACATGGATTTTGCAGGTCAGATAAAAGGTCAAACCTTCTTAAATATAATTGATGCCCACTCAAAATAGCCTGAGGTCTTTCCAATAACTCAGCCAACTGCAAAAGCCATGCTTGCCATATCATTGAACCTTTTTGCCACATTTGGTTATCCCTGGGAGATTGTCACAGATAGTGGGGCCCAATTCACAAGCCATGAATTTCAGAGTTTTGCTACTATTAATTACATCAAGCACAAGTTAACTGTGCCTTACCACCCAGCGACCACTGGTCAAGCAGAATGGTTTGTGCAAACTTTCAAGAACTACTTCAAGGCAACAGTGGCTTCAACTAGCCAGAGGTCCATATCTCCTCAGAAGTTAGACTCTTTCTCTTTGCTTACAGAACAACACATTTAACACATGCTACAACTGGTACAACACCAGCTGAGCTTCTTCTAGACCAATGGCCATGGACTGCTTTTGGAATGCTTCATCCTAAAACTGTTCATGACCATGTATTGTGCTCCCAAGAAAAAATGGTCACTTCCAAATAATCACCCACTTTTGGAGTACATCAAGAGGTCTGGACCTGATCATATGGATCCTCCAACACTCGGTGGCTTTCTGCCACAATTGTGGAAACTTTGGGAATTAAGATGTACAGAGTTCTCCTTGAAGATGGTTCCATTATCAGACGACATGTAGACCAGTTATGGTCCCGTTTCCGGTTACCCAAATCCGTTACCCAAAAGCTTCCTAAGTCCAAATCCAGTTAGACAGAGGATATCTGGGTTGGAGTTTGAGTTGACTCTGAAAATTTGAATGCACCTACAGGGGTGGCCTGTGCTTCTGGGTATGAGGGTTCTCATGCCCCTGACCCTTTTTTCCCAACCTTGAACCAAGCACCCTCCTTTTTCCTGTCCTGCTACCTCTGACATCCTGACTGCTTGTGGCCATCCCCAACTCCACCGCCACCCTCCTGACTGCTTACAACTTCACGAACACTTACAGGACTTCAGTCGGTCCTCCCATAGGACCCAGACAAATTCTGAATGGTATTTGTCCCCACAACTTCCTTCTGAAAACCAGCCTTCTGGCTCAAGTGACACTTTTTTTCTTTGGATGTACTGTATTCCTGATGGATTATTCTTGATGTTGTTTTGTTATTGGGTTTTAGATGGGTTTTTTTTCTCTGTGTTTTTTGTTGTTGTTGGAAGGGAGGTGTTATAGCTGGAAAGTGGGACCCTGCCCTCTCACTTCCACTTGAACTATTGATTCCATCCCTGTGATAACTTAAAGGTCAGAGAGCATGGCCAGCATCTTAAGTCAGTGAGTGTGATGCAGTACTGCACAGAGGATATTTCACTCCTGTGTTCCTGTCAGTTATAATAAGCCTGATAATACAGTAAATGTTCAATAATAAAGCAAGGTTATATGAAATTACTGGCCTCATATGTGAAGCAGTCAGGACCATAACATAATATATTCTAAAGCAAAGTGTGTCTGGAGTTTGGATGTGTTCATGTATCAGGAATTGTGGTCATGAGAACTATGCAGCTCTACAAATTTTTTAACTTCAGTAAGAAATGGCCTGGATCATTTGGTAAGGTGAAAGGTAGCACAGAGAGAGTTGTGTGCAGAATAACCTATCTATGAACATCTGAGGCAAAAGCTGTATCAACAGAGAACTAGAACCATCGGCGTAGGAACCCAAAAAAATCTGGGGGGGAAAGCATTTTTACTTGCCGGGTGTATTCTTATTCCGTAAACTAGGAGTTGTTTATCCCATTGTACAGCGCTACGGAATTTGCAGTCGCTATATAAATGATTAAATAATAACTTTAAAGGGTCACTACAGGGAAGGGATTTTACTTACCTGGATACAGCGCCGGGATCCTCCTGATGCCGCGCCCCCTATTTCGTCAAAATGACTTAATAGGAGGGTGCGAGCAGGGAGCAATAAAACGCTTCTATTCAGAAGCGTCATTGCTCTCTGGTGCGCATACGCAGCTCTTCCATGCATATTAGTACCCACTAACCCCTTCCATGCATATTAGAACCCACCCTACCCCTTCCATTCATATTAGTACTCCCCTAACCCCTTCCAATAATTTTTCTACCTCCCCCCTCCTCCCATCCATATTAGTAGTCCCCCTAAACCCTTCCAATTATTTTTTTACCTACCCCTCTCCCCCTATCCTTATTAGTAGCCCCTCTAATCCTTTCCAATTATTTTTCTACCTACCCCTCTCCCATCCATATTAGTAGCCCCCCTAAACCCTTCCAATTATTTTTTTACCTACCCCTCTCCCCCTATCCTTATTAGTAGCCCCTCTAATCCTTTCCAATTATTTTTCTACCTACCCCTCTCCCATCCATATTAGTAGCCCCCCTAAACCCTTCCAATTATTTTTCTACCTTTGTCCCCCCTTTTACCTGACATAGCAGGGGGACCTCTGGACGTCTGGCAGGCGACCCCTCCCTCCCTCCCTCGTCACTCTCTTTCTCCACCCTCCTCCCTCCCTCGTCACTCTTTCTCCCCCTCCCTCCTCCCTTGTCACTCTCTTTCTCCCCTCCTCCTCCTTGTCCTCTCTTTCTCCCCCTCCCTCCCTCCCTCCCTCATCACTCTCTTTCTCCCCCTCCTTCCCTCCGTCGTCACTCTCTTTCTCCCCCTCCCTCCCTCGTCACTCTCTTTCTCCCCCTCCTTCCTTCCCTCGTCACTCTTTCTCCCCCTCCTTCCTTCCCTCGTCATTCTCTTTCTCCCCTCCCTCCCTTGTCACTTTTCCCTCCCTCCCTCCCTTGTCACTCTCTTTCTCCCCCTCCCTCCCTCCCTTGTCACTCTCTTTATCCCCCTCCTTCCCTGTCAATTCCTCTCCCCCCTACCTTTGCTGTAGCGTGGCTGAGCCCTGTATCATGGTCCGCGGGTACAGGGAGCTTTTGTTTCCTGTACCCGGCCGGACTAACATGAAGTGCACACTCAGTGTGCACTTCATGTTAGTCCGGCCGGGTACAGGAGACAGATGCTCCCTGTACCCGCGGACCATGATACAGGGCTCGGCCACGCTACAGTGAGGGAGTGACAGGAGGGAGCACTGAGCACTTCCCTCCTGTCAGCCCCTCTCCTCAGGCTGTGCCCGGGCGGTGCGGTCCGCCCTCATGGATGCACCGCCCGGGCAAAGCTGCAGCCACCTGAAGCTCTCTACAGAGCGCTCGGGCGGCTGCAGCATGGGGGGGCCAGCGGAGCTGGGGGGGATTTCCCCATAACCTGTCCCCCCCGCATGATTTGCTGGGGGGGATGCGTCCCTCCCATCCCATCCCCCGGTTCCTACGCCCATGACTAGAACTCCATCCAAAGGGTAAGCAATACAGGTAGGAATAGGAGTCCATTATACCACATTCAGTAACAGCCTCATCAGTGAAAGACTCACATTACACACATAGTGTAGATATATGTGTTTCTGTGCATTCTGTTTTAAAATACATTTGCTTCAGGCATTGCAGACAGAAGCTCAGATAATGGCAAAAGACTCACTTACAGAAACATATGCGTTCACACTGACACAGAATATGCAGGATCATATGTACTTTCCAAAACATCACATGTTCAGAAAGGCAGACAACAATTACACAAAAAACACCTACATTAACACTAACTATGCATTTCAAGAAACACATGTGAAAGACATGGACCCAAACTGATATTGCAATGAAATAAAAATTGGCATTGCACATACAGTAACACATGCAAAAACTCTTATATTGCATACACAAGGGTTTATTCACTAAACAGTGAAAAGTGATACATTGGACTACAAACTGGACTACAAAACTGTGACAATAATAGAATTGTTGATTGTTTTGATATCTGTTTTTTTAATATCTAAAATTTAGCTTTTTTCAATATATTTAATTCACTATATTTTAGTGTTTAGTAAGTCCTTGTGTGTGCTTATCAGTGTTTCTCCATATGTTGCTAATGTAGCCCCATGTAGCCAAAGCGCAGCTAAGCGAAAAAAGGCCTTGACAGGGGTTAGGAGGCGGGCATAGGAGGAGGGAAGGAAGTATGGAGTTATGGGTAAGTAGGCTTGGCTATTTAAATAGGCAGCCATTTTAAAGCCTTCACTTTTAATTACTACCTTGCTGAGTTTGTCCCGCCCACCCTCCCTGAATTTGGTTCGGACTTGGGTTATCCCGTTTTTTCACAGCGGCGGGATAGGGAGCTGAAGGAGAAGAAATAGGCTCCCTAGGATGAACGTCATGGAGACGTAAAACTGTGGTCATTGGTGGTTGGTAGGTTCCGAGTCCTGTCGGTGGCTCAGAATCTGGTGGGGCAGGGGTATCCGGGTATACCCCTGCCATGGTTAATTTATGTTTGGCACTTTAAGTTGGTATGTTGGAATATGTTGATACGTATGTTATATGTATATGTATATATGTTATTTATATGGGGGTCATTGCCTGTTATATTAACAGAAGGATTCGGTTACGAGGGCAGAGTATGGGGGCAATGACCCATGTTTATTGTTAAAATTATTATTGCTTAATAAATTATTATTATTCAAGATTGTTTAAATAAAGCTGTGGACAAATTTTCCCATATACCTTTGTGTCAGTGAGTTATTGGGTTAGGTATGTGGGAGGGTTGTCCTGGAGTCCGACTGCCCATATGGCGACTATACACCGGTCATGTGAATTAACCCTATAGAAGCACATCTACTTTCAATGACATTACACAGCGTCACATTTTTAATGTGCATTTTGAATGTAAAAAGAGGTAATCTTTTTTTTATTGTATTTTATTGTATTCTGTATCAAACATAATTAGCATAACTTAGTGTGCTTCCCTGGAAACAAGCATAAGTCAAATATTTGTTTCCTGGGGCATGCAGTTGTTACAGGTG